CTAATTCCCCATTTCGCTAATTCCCCAATTCTGTAATTTGCTAATTCTCTAATTCCCCAATTTCTAAATTTCTTAAGCCCCTAATTTCCTAATCCTCTAATTCCCTAATCCCATATTCCCAAATCCCCAAATCCCCAAATCCCCAAATTCCCATATTTCCAAGTTTCCAAATTTCCAAATTTCCAAATTTCTAAATTCCCTAACCCCCTAATTCCCAAATCCTCTAATTCCCTAATTCCCTAATCCCATATTCCCAAATCCGCAAATCCCCAAATTCCCATATTTTCAAGTTTCCAAATTTCCAAATTTCCAAATTTTTAAATTCTTTAACCCTCTAATTCCCTAATCCTCTAATTCCCTAATTCCCTAATCCCATATTCCCAAATCCCCAAATCCCCAAATTTCCAAGCTCTCCAATTCCAAAATTCTCAAATCCCCAAAATTTCCCATCTTCAAATCCCTCAAACTTCCCAACCTCATTTCAAACGTGGGAAATACTAATAAAAAAATGTAGACTTATATTGGTAATAACTCAAGATAAGTTGCTGTTGAAATTACAATAAATACTGTGGGAAATAATAGTAAAAAGAATGTAGGAAGGGTGAAGTAAGGGTAGTATGACCAGCGAAAATTAATAGTCACGCGAACGAGGAACAGTTAATGAAACGGTAGCCTTTACCGTAAAACACGTTTCATGGTGAGACGAGAAACTAGATAGGTGAATGTGGTTAAAGAAAAAGGGTCGGTTGAACGGTAAAAGCGAGACGAAGCTCGCCATTAATGCGACATTGCGACACCTGCGTTTTGTCATGCATTAATCAACTCGCTGTTTCATCAAGTTTGCGTCGGTATATACCTCTATAAATGACACAAGCTTTACACCTTGTTATTTAAAGATGAAGATACCTGTTCTCTACTCTTCCTTGGTCATTTCTCTTTAAATTCGCTTTGAAACTTCACCATTTTTATGAGCCAGGTTAAACAGGTATTACTACCGTTATTGAATGTTAGAGGTGATGATTTACTATTTATGGACGGAAGATTATGTCATTTGTGTAAAATAAATTGTTATTGTAAGTCGCGGATATTGGCTGTTAAAAATTTATGAGGCAAGCGTGGAAACTGATTGATCGTCAAGCCGATGTAGAGATGCTAAGTTTATAAATTTTCAAGCTTTCAAATATTTAGGTTTCTGTTTTTATGTTTGGGAATTTTTTTAATTTTTAAAGTTATGAAATTTAGAATTCTCAAGATTCGAAATTAAGTTTTTACGGTTTCCAAATTTCTAAATTCTCAAATTTCCAAGTTTCCAAGTTTCCAAGTTTCCAAGTTTCCAAGTTTCCAAATTCTCAAATTTCCAAGTTACCAAATTTCCAAATTCTCTAATTTCCACGTTTCCAAATTCCCAAATTCCCAAATTTCCAAGTTTCCAAGTTTCCAAGTTTCCAAATTTCCAAATTTCTAAGTCCCCTAACCCTCTAATTCCCTAATTCCCTAGTTCTCTAATTCTCTAATCCCCATATTCCCAAATCTCCAAATCCCCAAATCCCCATATTCCCAAATCCCCAAATCCCCAAATCCCAAATCTCCCGAATCCCAAATCTCCCGAATCCCAAATCTCCCAAATCCCAAATCTCCCAAATCCCAAATCTCCCAAATCCCAAATCTCCCAAATCCCAAATCTCCCAAATCCCAAATCTCCCAAATCCCAAATCTCCCCAAAATTCGCAAGTTTCCAACCTCTCCAGTCCCCAAATTCCCAAATTTCCGAGCTCTCCAATCCCAAAATTCTCAAATTCCCAAATTTCCCCTCTTCAAATCCCTCAAACTTCCAAATCTCACTTCAAACGTCATAACCTCCGAAATTCCAAATCCCCAAATCCTCAAATTTAAAAAATTTCCCCATTAATCACCCCACCCAAAAAATCACCAAAAAAACTTTAAAAACCAAAAATATCTATACCCAAATAAAAATCCTAGTTACGCCAATGAATTCATCCCCGCCATACTAGTATCTAAAGTTGGATGAACGATTACGTTCCAAAAAGAGTGAAAATTCCCGAGAGCGAGAATGCACGACTGACGAGCGACATATTCTCAACCGACGGCTCTGTAATCCAACGAAGAGTAGATTTACGCTTCCGAGAAGCGAGATCGCAGATCGATGCGAAGCGATCGCGTCCTTTATAAATATCTGGTTCCGCTCGCGTCGCTTCGTCTGCTTTTTATCTGCTGGTAGAACGTGCATGAGTCTTCTCTTCGTCTCGCACAATCGAGAGCTTAACGAGGTGAACGTGATCCTGATAAAAGGTGGTTGGCTACGCTTCGAGAATCGTGCGTACACGTTCCGTCGTTGGAATTTATCCGAACGCATCGTGCTCTAATTGCGCTAATTTGAATTTGGCGCGCGCCTCGCGTGCCTCGAGTTCGTAGTGATGGCTATGAGTCGCGCCCGAGTTCAAGTTACATTCTGTTCATTTTTGAATTAAAAGATAATTATGTACTTTCGGTATATTTATTAAATTATATTCATTGAACAATATTATTAGTTTATTTATTAAATAAATATTTGTAGAAGAATATATTTTATTGAAGCAATTTATTTGATACTTCTTTTAGATGTACTTCAGGTTGGACATTAAATGTTTCAGGTTTGAAGTATTACAATTTAACCTAATCTATTGAAGTTCACTTTTGTTAGAAAATTAGTTTTATTAATATTTAAAGAGAAGCTGTATTATTTTATCTTAGTTGATCTTGCTTGTCGATATTTATTGTTATTAACTTATTAGTTTAAACTTCATTTTCTTTCTCTTTTTAATGTTTATAGTAAATAACCATTTGCATTATAAATAACTGTTTTTCAACGGCTTTATGAAACTTCCCTGATGTTCTATACTGATTTGAATTTCTTCTTACTCTTTAGCAATTATTTTTAAATTGCAAGGTTTTCAAATTGCAAAATAGTACAATTCTTTTACGAATGAACAAAATTTCGAAGTTAAGTTTGATTTAAAAATAAAAACAGCTCTTACGATCTAAATGTGAAGATTAATCAGCAAATAACCGTATACTGCTAATCTTCTCATCTAATCTTGACATCCTGTATTTCATGTCATCTCATCAATTGTTTTCGAATAAATTATTCTAATTTCTTTGTTCTTAACGAATGCAAATGAACACCCTTCTCAATAGACCTTTTTTATACCCGTCTATTACCAGGAAGTACGATTCTAAATTCCGAAGGACATAACAGTATTATCAATAACGATGCTTCGTAATTATCATTTTTTTCAAATTACCTTGAAACACGATCCAGCAACAGTATCCAGCGAGCATCGTTCGAATGACAGTTGGCAATTACTTTGGTCCCACAATCGGCAGGGATGCCACTTACTTATTGACAATCATTCTAACGGTGTTTTACACGCAGTCCGCGGTGAGTGTTACATAATTTTGTTGACCGAAACTTCCGGGTTTAGATCGTAATCTATGAGAAAATTTATTCCGACGTTTGACCCGCATTTCAACCAGCTCCGTGTCAGAGGACCGATACTGTGAAAGCCTTGAAACACGTTGTATAAGTTTCTCTCTCTCTCGAAAATTTCTGTTTCGCGGTGTTTACATGCGCAGGTTTCAAATACCGAATGATAGGCTCGGAATATTTTGGATAGTTGTGTCATAGATATTTTCTTGGATAGTGAACGGGATATGTTCGTTTGTTGAGGAGAAATTTTATTTGGATGTATCGTGAGAACTTGGTGTAGGGCAATGTTTCATGAGAATTGTTTTATGATCGATGATAGTTGTGGTGGAAAATGTGATGATTGAAGTTTGATTATGTTGGGGTAGAAATGACTATATTAGTTTTATGGGTGGATGGAGTAAAGGGATTGATTCTTTTAATATTTTAGTGGAATATTTACTGTGTTGCTTTTCTTCGGTGCTGTTTCGAATGTGGGCTTTCATTGTATTACTATTTTCGATATACTGGTACTAGTTTATTAGTTTACTAGTTTACTATTATACTAGTTCCATATTTTACTAATTTACTATTTTACCATTTTAATATTTTACTAGTTTATTACTTTACTAGTTCAATAGTTTATTAGTTCACTATTTTACCATTTTAATACTTTACTAGTTTATTACTTTACTATTTCAGTATTTTACTAGTTTACTATTTTACCATTTTAATACTTTACTAATTTACTATTGGATTAGTTCAATATTTTACTAATTTACTATTTTACCATTTTAATATTTGACTAATTTACTATTTTACCATTTTAATATTTGACTAGTTTACTATTAGACTAATTCAATATTTTATTTTATTCAATATTTTATTTTATTTTATTACTATTTGCCATTTTGCCATTTTAACATTTTACTATTTTACAATTTTACAATTTTACCACTTTACCATTTTACCATTTTACCATTTTACCATTTTACCATTTTACCATTTTACCAATTCATTATTTAACAATTTCACTCTCTCATTTTTCCACAATTGTACTATTTACCCATTCCATCATTTCAGTACTTCAAATTTAATCACTATTATCAACTTACGTGAATCCTCATACTGATTTTCGCTGATCTTCATTAAATTGACATATTCCAAATCTGGTTGTTTGGAGGATTTCTCTTTCGCGAGTTCATCCTGCTTCTCTGAAGTCTTCTTCACCTTAGGTGTCACTGTAACAATAAAAATGTCTTGATCAGTATGCGAAATATCAAGAAGATTCATAAAAACAACTTAAATTCAAAACCACTATCTAAAATATAATATACGTTATAAATATTTCTAAACCTAACTAATTTTAACCCTTAATTACCATGTCTTAAAAAATAACATACAGTCATTAATATTTATTCGAAGAGAAACTCGTTCAATTAGTGAAGACAGCAATATAACGAGAGTCTACTATAGTTTCAAACTACGTGATCTGAATTTTGTACATAAAGGCCTTAGTGCATATCTCACGTTTAATTTAATTCAATATTAAATACTATTCAATAATTTAATTCAACATATAAGTTAAATTGTCAAACATTATTCCATCACAATTTAATTTTTTTATAAAGCAACTAATTTTGATCCTTAATTATCATGTCTTAAAAAATAACATACAGTCATTAATATTTATTCGAAGAGAAACTCGTTCAATGTTTGATGGCGGCAATATAACGAGAGTCTACTATAGTTTCAAACTACATGATCTCAATTTTGTGCATAAAGTCCTTAGTGCATACCTCACATTTAATTTAATTCAATATTAAATAGTTTTCAATAATTTAATTTAATTTAATTTAATTTAATTTAATTTAATTTAATTTAATTTAATTTAATTTAATTTAATTTAATTTAATTTAATTCTATATATAAGATAAATTGTCAACCTTTATTCCACCACAATTTAACTTTTTTATAAAGCAACTAAAATTAATAAAAAGTGGCATTGAAATTCCATTCCTGAAAAGTAAACCCAAAAGCCACCTCCTAAGTTTGCAGCACGGTATCATTGCGATATACAGAAGATCGCTGTTTTAATTGCATCGAAAGTGTTAATCGTTTCGAGATAAGTCGATGTATCGAACATCCTACGCACGACGAGAGGTCCGATTGTGTTATCGAACTCGATCCAGTACGAAGATACAGCGGTACAAATTTAAACGAGGATTCCTTCCGATAACCCCACACTTCTCGAAGTCGAATTAAAACTAATCGTTCGAACGTAGGTAATTTTCACCGGATAATGAAGAATAGTATGTAGAAATAGTTGCATGATGGGTAAACGTGCGAATAGCGAGGTTATTACGCAATATGGCTGCTTAGAATCAATTAATCGACCTTCTTCCGAGAGAAAAATCGAAATTCTTTCCAGATATCTCATCAACCTTGACCACAAACATATTGCGATTGAAACTCGATGGTGATTTATTGCGTGTGGTGTAAGTATGCGGCTTCCGGTTGCAGGCTTTACAGTTAAAAAGTGAAGTTTATGTTTTCTTTTGCTTGGAATGGAAGGACTGTGTTTTGTGGATCGTTGTTACTTGGAATTAATATAATCGTGTCGAGGTTGATGTTTGCATTACCTCAAATTCATAGATTCTTAAATTCACAAATCTCCAAGAACCTAAATTATAAATTTCTCAAATTTTAAAATTTCTAAATCTCCAAATCTTCAAATTTCCACAGTCAATTTTTCAAATTCTTAAATTCCAAAATATCTCAAATTTCTCAAACTTCTCACATTTCTCCAATTTCTCAAACTTCACAAACTTCTAAAACTTCTAAAACTTCTAAAACTTCGCAAATTTCACAAACTTCACAAAGTTCTCAAACTTCTCAAATTTCTCAAATTTCTCAAACTTCTCAAACTTCTCAAACTTCTCAAACTTCTCAAACTTCTCAAACTTCTTAAACTTTTCAAACTTCACAAACTTCTCAAACTTCTCAAAGGCCTCTCAAATTTCTCAAATTCTGTAATGCCAAAATTCACAAATCTACAGATTTCCAAATCTACAAATTCCTATATCCTAAATTTCTAAAATTTTCACATTCTCAAATCCTTAACTTCCTAAATCCCAAATTTTTCAAATTTCTGAACCCTCAAATCCCCAAACTTCCAAGTCCCTGAATTCCTAAATCTTCAAATTCCTAAGTCAAGTTTCTAAAAGTTCTAAATCTCCAAATATTCAAATCTGCAAATCTTCAAATTTCTTAAATCCCCAAATTCCCAGATCCCCAAATCCCCAAATCCCCAAATCCCCAAATACCTAAGTCCCCAAATTCCCAAATACCCATGTCCCCAAATTCCTAAATCCTCAAACTTCCAAATTCCCAAATTACTAAATCTCCTGTTCCTCAAAGTTCTAAGTCCCCAAATCTCGAAATCCCAAAATTCCTAAATCCCAAATCTCTCAAATCCCAAATCTCCCAAATCCCAAATCTCCCAAATCCCAAATCTCCCAAATCCCAAATCTCCCAAATCCCAAATCCCAAATCTCCCAAATCCCAAATCCCAAATCTCCCAAATCCCAAATCCCAAATCTCCCAAATCCCAAATCCCAAATCTCCCAAATCCCAAATCCCAAATCTCCCAAATCCCAAATCCCAAATCTCCCAAATCCCAAATCCCAAATCTCCCAAATCCCAAATCCCAAATCTCCCAAATCCCAAATCCCAAATCTCCCAAATCCCAAATCCCAAATCTCCCAAATCCCAAATCCCAAATCTCCCAAATCCCAAATCCCAAATCTCCCAAATCCCAAATCCCAAATCTCCCAAATCCCAAATCCCAAATCTCCCAAATCCCAAATCCCAAATCTCCCAAATCCCAAATCCCAAATCTCCCAAATCCCAAATCCCAAATCTCCCAAATCCCAAATCCCAAATCTCCCAAATCCCAAATCCCAAATCTCCCAAATCCCAAATCCCAAATCTCCCAAATCCCAAATCCCAAATCTCCCAAATCCCAAATCCCAAATCTCCCAAATCCCAAATCCCAAATCTCCCAAATCCCAAATCCCAAATCTCCCAAATCCCAAATCCCAAATCTCCCAAATCCCAAATCCCAAATCTCCCAAATCCCAAATCTCCCAAATCCCAAATCTCCCAAATCCCAAATCTCCCAAATCCCAAATCTCCCAAATCCCAAATCTCCCAAATCCCAAATCTCCCAAATCCCAAATCTCCCAAATCCCAAAATTCCCTAAGTCCCAAAATTCCCCAAGTCCTCAAATTCCTTAATTTCCAAAATCCACAAAACTTCAAATTTAACATGCAACAAAATTTCTCTAAACCACAACTATTACCTATCAAACAATAACTAGCACAGTCTCTACACTAGCACGTCAATAAATCATCTGAGAAACAAATATATTCGACTCGAATTATAAAAATCTGTTTTATCAAGCAGTCTTGCAAAACAAATGAATCGCATACAATTGATTCCAATTCCTGAAATACTTCTATGACCCTAAATATAAAAATTCGTCAAGAATGTCAGTGACGACTCTGCATCTACGTCACTGAAATTAATCACTACATTATCGTTTTGTAACGATGATATTCAACAATCACATGAACAAAATCAATCACGCCGATGATTATTATGAACTTTAACTGACAATTAACTGCGTCATTGTTTTTCACGCTACGATTATCATACTAATCAACAGTTCATACATTTTAATTTAAAACCTGATTCATTCAAATGTCGTAAACTGGATCTTCTTAGAATTTCTCTAGATTAGTTCGCTTCAGGGTTTTCTCGAAACAGTGTGAAATTCTTTAGCAGTTATGAAAAGATACCTGAAGATTTTCTGTGATGATTTTCGAAGAACGGTGGAACATTTATGAGATACTAATTGCACGTTAATTGCGCGTAATTGATGATTGAACACGAGGGAACTGCATAATTGGCGGTGGTATTGGAAAGAAACTAGTTTAGATTTTTCCTCGCGTCATTGTTGGCGGGAAGACAAATGACTATTGGAGGGATCGGTGAGTAACAATGGATAATTACTCGAGTCGTTTAGAATTATGTGGATACTCGGAAGTTTTTGAAATTGTTCAGGTAGGAAATCGTAGAATTGCATGTTTAACCATCTTTTCATTGTGATGTGTCATTTGTTTGATTATAATATGACGTACTGCACGTTGCTTAATTTTATTTTTCATTGTTCAATTTTATTTTTATATTTATATTATATCATACTGCACGTAGCTTCAATTTATCTTTTATTGTTCAATTTCAGTTTTATATTTACAATATCCTATACTGTGCATTGCTTAAATTTATCTTTTATCGTTCAATTTTATTTTTATATTTGTAATATGTCATACTATGTGCTGCTTAATTTCATTTTTCATTGTTCAATTTTATTTTTAAATTTATATATCATACTGTGTATTGCTTAATTTTACTTTTCACTCTTCAATTTTATTTTTATATTTATATGTCGTACTATGTGTGGCTTAATTTTATTTTTCATTAAGCAATTTTATTTTTATATTTATATGTCATGCTATGTATTGCTTAATTTTATGTTTCATTGTTCAATTTTATTTTTATATTTATATGTCACAGTATGTGTTGTTTAATTTTAATTTTATATTTATATGTCATACTATGCGTTGTTTAAATTTATCTTTTATTGTTTAATTTTATTTTTATATTTATAATATGCCATACTGCACGTTGCTCAAAATTATCTTTCATTGTTTAATTTCATTTTTATATTTATATGTCATACTGCACGTTGCTTAAATTTATTTTCTATTCTTCAATTTCATTTTTAATTACTATTAGGCACTAAAGAATACGCAGAATATTTGAATGGTTTCGTTTTATTAATTATTTGATAATCACTTTGTTAATTATTTTTCTTAATTAATTACTGTATCAAGTTTTGTACTGTTTTATTTTAATTGATAGAATTATTTTGTTTCTGCAACTTCTTAATTACTTACTAAACCATTCACTTGAATTTAATTATTTAACTTTATTAATTGAATTTAATTGTTCATTTAAATTATTTAATTTCAACAAGTATTTTTTAAGAATTTTTTCAATTTTTTTTTACTCTAACAGAAAATTAATTTTGTAAAAAAGAAAAGGTAAGAAATTGAACTATTGGATCGGTACCAATTCCCGTCAGCGTGGAGGTAGAGTAAAATTCGTATAAAT